TGACATTCTCTGCAACTGAAGAAGTGCCTAACTGGGTTAGATGTGGAGGAGGGAGGCATCGTCTATCTTATTAGTCCACACAACGGTCTGAGAGTCAGAACACACGACTATTAGCCCCTGTTCTCACACATATTACATATGTTTTGGGGGCAAGTGGAACTGATCTCGGAGAGAAAGCAGTGAGCGTTCCTGAAGAGAGATCTTAGTTCCCTGCCCGGGAATTGGACCTGGGTAGCCTGGATGAAAACCAGGAATTCTAGCCACTAGACCACCAGGGGCAAGAGGCTTGAAGCAAACTTCCCCTGGCTCTTACACCCAGTGAAAGTAAGAATATTTCAAGAAGGCAAAAACTGTAAAAACAGGTACAAAGTATATTAATAGAGACACAGCACAACCTACGGGAGAGCCCCCAGAGAAGCAGTTTATTTATTTATAAAGTCAGAAGCTAGGCAGAAATACACAAGAGCCCACAGAGAAGCAGTTTATTTATTTAAAGTCAGAAGCTAGGCAGAAATACACACCCAGAGAGAAAGGATATGGGCGTCCTTCCTAATGAGGAGAAGGTCAGTAAAGAGGTGATTTAAATCCCTTATATAGGATGGTTCTTCTAGGTCTTTGTTTACCTTTGGCCAAGTATCCTGTTTCTTTTTTCACACCTGACCTGCCCTAGGATGCTCCCCAACATGCGTGCGCAACTTTTTGCTAGGATGGATCCCACCACAGAGGCCTGTGGGTGCATGTCCACACTTATTATGGGGTGGCACTCCCTCCCTTTTTGACCCCCAAGGAGGCTTCCTGTGCGTGGGCAGACGGGCAGGTCTTCCTTGACCTCAGGTGTGGGTGCCTTATCTCTTTACTTCAGCAGAGCTCAGCTTCTGCCACTAGCTTTGTCCTTGGAGTGTCTGGGTGCGAACAAAGCTTCAATTTTACTCCACCTGACAAACGCCAGCTGTTCAGCCCAGGGGCACATCCACGAACTATCTCAGAGCCAGTTAAATCAGTCACTGGACGGCAATACGCTAAGAATTCGCTAATTCCCAATGTTTAAAATATAGGCTTGGACCACATCAGTGTTTTCAAACGGACACAAATTAAGAAGCATTGGGGACCCATATCAAAAGTACAGATTCTAAGATCTTTTCCTTGGAGATTCTTATTCAGAAAACCTGGTGTGAGGTGCAAATTGCATGTGTTTGTAACAAGAGATTCTCAGTGGCTCTTATTATCAAGAAAGTGTCAGAAGATTTCAAAAAATCCTCCAAACCCTAAACTTCTAGAGAATTCCCTTCTGCAATTGCTCTTTTTCATCTATTGTGTTCTTCCTATTTGACATTGTGCTTCCTCCGCTGCTGGGGTTTATATTAGAATCAACTTTGGAGGTTTTAAATGTATCCATGCTATTTCCCAACTCTAAGTAAAGATCACTGGTTGACAAAGAGTGTCTGTTCTTTGATACTAGTGCTCTGCTGGCTATGTCCAATTTGCCCCTTTACATCCATTCTCCACCCTTTTCCACCTGATCTTTGGTGTTGAAGGTGAACCCTACTCACCACATCAATGGGCTCCTTTGCCTCTTGACTTCAAGTTAGGTTTATCCAATGGGAGGCATCAACAGAAAAGTAGAGGATGGGAGAACAACATTGGGGTATTAATTAGCCTCACTCCCACCCCTCCTGGTTACCCATGGGATCACAGTGGGCTGGCTGTATCTTACTACTGAAGACCACCTCCCTCTCGGGGTTGGGGGGTGCACTTCCTTATGATTAGAGCTGACCTCTTAGGGTTCCTCCAGATCTATGTTGGTCACATAGCCCCAAGATTGTTGCTAGCCCCAAGTTACTCTATTACCTTTTGTAGATTCTCCTTAATCCTTCCCAAGCCTTTGTAAACAGTCCCTTTGTTAAAATTTCCCCAATTACTCTGTTTGAGTATGGCATCTCTGCTCCCGGGATTTTGCTGGGGATAATAATTTACCTTTATCTCTTTCACATGTGCTATTTGTGTAATAAAGGTTTTCTTGTATCTTATTTAAAATAATAGAAAAAATAGAATTAGAATTTAGGAATAGAAAGAACGAAATTCTAGTGCTTGAATAAGCTTTAAATTATGTCTATTCTACACTATGCTTCATAACAGGAACTAACATAGTGTAGTAGGTCAAGTGTATTTCAAAATCAAACAAACAAGCAAACAAACTCATAGAAAAAGAGATCAGATTTGTGGTAACCAAGGGGGGGTGGGGGATGGGAGGAGAGGGAATTGGATGAAGGTGGTCAAAAGATACAAACTTGCAGTTATAAGATAAATTAGTACTGGGGATGTAAGGTACAATATAATAAATATAATTAATGCTGCTGTATGTTATACATGAAAATTGTTAAGAGTAAATTCTAAGAGTTCTTTCATCACAAGAAAAACATTTTTCTATTTCTTTAATTTTCTATCTATATGAGATGACAGCTGTTCACTAAACTTATTGTGATAATCATTTCATGATGTATGTAAGTCAAATCATTATGCTGTATACCTGAAATTTATACAGTATTGTATGTCAATTATATCTCAATAAACTGGAAACAAATAAATAAATTATATCTATTCTAGCTTACTACTAAATACTAGAATCCTGCATGAACTAGGTCTGCTCCATCCTGTTCATTGCAACTTTTAAAAAATTTATGGGCAATGAACATTTTCTCTTTCAGACTAAATATTATGCATTCTTCAACCGTTCTTCACATAGCATGGTTTCTAGATCCTTCTCCATCCTGGCCATTGGCTACGTTCCTTTGGGTGAATTCTGTTGTGTCAGCATTATTGCTTCATGTTTAGGAAACATTTGCAAAGTAAGCCAAATGTGGACAGATCTCCCCAGCTGGAGAAGAGCACAGGCATCCCTAAGTGAAAGGCACACCCTTCCACTGGGATGAGCAAGTGCAGACTGAAAGTTCTGGCTGCCAAACGGAGCAGCTGCTCAAAAACAGGCACATGGGTGGAGGCATGAGCTCCTGCGCGGGGGAAAACATCCTTACCACTACACTCCTTGCATATCATGGCTTCACTTTTGAATTTATACCCTACTTTTTCTTTTTTTTTTTCCGGTATGCGGGCCCCTCACTGTTGTGGCCTCTCCCGTCGCGGAGCACAGGCTCCGGACGCGCAGGCTCAGCAGCCATGGCTCATGGGCCCAGCCGCTCCGCAGCATGTGGGACCTTCCCGGACCGGGGCACGAACCCGCGTCCCCTGCATCGGCAGGCAGACTCTCAACCACTGCACCACCAGGGAAGCCCCATACTTTTTCTTTTATACTTTTTATTGTTCACTAAGTATAATAGGGAAGAACAAATCTGACTCCATACTGGATCTGTTTCTTTTACTTTAACCTTTGTATTTTATTGCTTTTGCTACAAGTTAATCACTAAAGGGATGTTTCCTATAACTTAAAGTATGCATAATGGCCCGCCTGGAACCCTGGCTCCCATGCCTGAATGTTAAGCTAAAATGCCTTTGTTTAAGCTCAGAGGAAACATCCTGACTAGGCCACCTGTGAATGGCTACAGGAAAGAAGAAATTAACAACCCCCTCCAGAGTCTGGCCAGGACCAGAAAATATCTGCAACAATTTATCACCTTTTTATTTTACCTCTTCACACCTCCGCCACTTTGTTATAGAAAAGAAACTAGCATCCATATAAGTGGAATCTAGAAAAATGGTACAGATGAACCTGTTTGCAAGGCAGAAATAGAGACACAGATGTAGAGAAAAAATGTATGGACACCAAGGGGGAAAAGCAGGAGGTAGGATGAATTGGGAGACTGGGATTGCCATATATACACTAATATGTATAAAACAGGTAACTAATAAGAACCTGCTGGATAGCACAGGGAACTCCACTTCAGTTCTCTGTACAGTAGAAACTAACACAATATTGTAAAACAACTGTACCCCAGTTTAAAAGAAAAATAAACTAGCATCCAAACCTGGACAAGATGGTTCTTTGGGACACTGGTCCACCATCTTCTAGGTCTGCTGGCTTTCTGAATAAAGTCGCTCTTCCTTGCCCCTTTTTCGGCCTGTCATGCAGTGAGCAGTACGAGCTTGGACTCGGTAACATGAGGGGGGAACAAAGTGGAATTCTAGTTGGGCCAAGGGTTAAAATGAAAAATAGGCATGCTTTAAATGTCCATGATCTGGAAATCCAGTGTCCTTACCCCATTCCAATCCAGATGTGTCCCTTGGGCTTTTAGATTTCTGGCCAGAAGGTAACAATGTCATTTGTGCGAAACAGTGAGTGCAGAGCCTGCAGCCGAAGAAATGTTCCGAAGAAATGTTCTCCAGCGCCGAGCATCTCTCGTTCCCGTGCTCAAAGTCACAGAATTTATCGCTACCGTGAACCTCAGATTACTTAATTCAGGCAAACTGGAGGATCCCAAGAGTGAGATCTTTGCCCAAAATGATGGCGGCAGGATTAGAACCCAAATCTCTTTCCCCTCTATCATCCTGCCTCTCTTTTCAGTTAATTTACTCCATTCTTTTGCCACAAATTACAAAACTGAAATGAAGAAGTTAATACTGCTAGTACCCAAAGCATCCAAGCCAGACAGAGGCAGCCCTTGAATTGCACAATTGCCTTGAAAGTATTGGGGAAATATAGCTATGTGCACATTACATCTGACACTACTTCACTGGTGAAGCAAACCATTATTTTATTTCTCCGATTCCGCTACCTATCTTTTGCATCTGAGTCTAAACTTTAAAGGATACAAATCTTTTCAATCCACTGAATCAAGGCACTCAGAAGGCTCAGAGTCTTGAGTTTAAATCTCCAGTTTGCCACCAACTCAGAACTGTACAGTTTAAAGCTGCATCAGATCTCAGGGATAACCTAGTCCAGTAAAATTTAGACCCAGAGAGGCCGTGATTTACAAAGTTATAAAGCAGAATCGGAACTTGACTCTTAATCCTATGCTGCTTTGCATGCACTGTGCTTATTTCCCGTGTGACTGTGCCTTCTTTGTTTAATTGGGTCTCAGAACAGGACATCAGATATTTGCATATAGCATTTAATACAACTTCATCATGAGATTCGAGGTATCTCCTTTATTAAAGAAAATGGTAGAGGAGTGACATAAATGGTATCTTAACAGCCTAATACCAATCATAATTAACGCCTAGCAAAAACAGATTTGAAAGACTTAAACTTTAGAGAAATACTGATGACTTCTAACCAGCTGATAGGAAAAAGTGGTAATGTTTGAAAGGCCCTATAAAAGTTGATTTCACCTACTCTTCTGAGCTAAACTATACTGCATGAGAGAGTCTGACACTAAGAGAACTCTTAATAGTAACTTAAGGGAAACGACTGTGTAAGCCAAAGAAACCACTTCCGACAGCTGTTATGTCAGGACTCTGGCAGATCAATAGGGCAGAAGTAACCAAAGTTACAGCAGTTGCTGTTGAGAGTGGCAGAACCTCTGGTGCCTCAGATGATCCCAAACTGAGCAAGCTCGTTCAACTCCAAGTGGCTGAATGCCTCCCAAGGACAAATCACCGTGATATCTGCAAGGGAAAAAAGAAGAACTTATAAGCCAATCTCACCCCTAGGAGAGCCTCTTCTGCTCAAAAGGGCATCCTTCAGGCAGAGACCCCTCACCCCTCCCTTCCATATGCTGTCTAGATGACCGGGAAGTTGTCTAGAATGGCCCTTCATCCCAGGAAGGATCAGACCAGTTGTTTAATCCTCTGCAGGGCTCTGATTCCCCCAGAACAGGCTCCCAAGGTATTTGTGTTGGTTTTATTCTGCGTCCTTTTTGGGGAGATGATCCAAGGCTTTTGACTGGGGCTATCCTGCGGGAGTGTAGCTCTCTGATCACACAGAGTCTCACAAAACCACTGAAGAGGGAACAAAGGTGGAATTCTAGTCAGGCCAAGGGTTAAAGTGAGAAATAGGGATGCTTTAAATTCCCATGGTCTGGAAATCCAGTCTCCTTACTCCTTACCAATCCAGACGTGTTTCTTGGGCTTCTCTGACTGCTCTTAAGCTCCTTTACATTCTGAAATGCCTATATCCCACCGCATACTGAGAAGTGATCTCAAGGCATCATCTCATCCAGTCTCTTGCATCAGCAATAAGATATTATTCTTCCCAAATTACAGGGAAGCTGGCTGATACCCAGAGTGATTAAACACCCAGCAAAACATCTCACAGCTGTAGAGACTAGACTAGAACCAGATCAAAGACTTCAGAATTTCCATCAGTATAAACCTTTTGCCACTGTTCCAAATATGTTGGCAGAGTTAAGGATGTATTCCAGAGTCAAAAGTGAATTTGCTGGTCTTATACACACCTGGCCAAAATAGAGAAGCATTTGATTTAAAAGAGTAGCATCTGAGCTTTATCAAAGTGGCTAGAAATTCTATTTGAGATCCGAGGAGTGGCATTAGACAATAAAAAGTAGATAAACTGAGAGTTGCCCGGAAAGGACACTGATTGCTATGAGTGCCACCATTTATCAAAAGTGTATTGGATGAGCTGGAAACATGTGGCTACACAAAAACCTGCACAAGGAAGTTTATAGCAGCTTTATTCATAATTGCCAAAACTTGGAAGCAATCAAGATGCCTATCAATAGCACAAATAAACTGTGACACAACCATATAATGAAATATTCAGTGATAAAAAGAAATGCATTATCAAACCATGTAAAGACATGGAGGGAGCTTAGATAAATATTACTGAGTGAAAGAAATCATACTATATGATTCCAACTGTAGGACCATCTGGAAAAGGCAAAACTATAGAGACAGTAAAAAGATTAGTGGTTGTCAGAAGTTTACGGGGAGAAAGGGATGAACAGGTAGAGCACAAGAGATTTGGGGGGCTAGTGAAGGTATTCTGTATGAACCTGTAACGGTGGATACAGGATATTGTGCATTTGTCAAAACCCAAGGAACTGGACAACACAGAGAATGAACAAGCTATTTCAGTTAATAACAATGTATTAATATTGGGTCATGAAGTATAACAAATGCCCCACGATAATGCAACATGTTAATAATAGGGGAAACGATGTACAGGGAGAGGAAGGTGGCAGAGGGGGTCTATAGGAACTCTGTACTTTCTGTTTAATTTTCCTATAAACCTAAAACTGCTCTAAAAAATAACGTCTATTAATTTTTAAAAGGACATGCAGGGGACTTCCCTGCTGGAGCAGTGGTTGGGAGTCCGACTGCAGGTGCAGGGGACGTGGGTTCAAGCCTTGGTCTGGGAGGACACCACACGCCGTGGAGCAACTGGGCCCCTGCGCCACAACTGCTGGGCCTGAGCTCTGGAGCCCGCGAGCCACGACTGCCGAGCCCGCGCCCCTAGAGGCCAAGCTCCGCAACGGGAGAGGTCACCGCAGTGAGAAGCCCGCGCACCGCGGCGAGGAGTGGTCCCCGTTCTCCGCAGCTAGAGAGATCCCGTGTGAAGCCGCAGAGACCCAGTGCAGCCAAAAATAAATAAATAAAATAAATAATTTTTTAAAAAAGGATGTGCAGTAATTTGCATGCATTATCCAACAAATAAAAATTCTAGCCAATTAAAAAATATTGTACCGGATACTTTCAGTATGTAGGGCCCTGTTCTGGGTGCCAGAGGATGTGTGAAAAAAGGAAGTAGGTGAGGGAGTGGTTGGCCCTGTAGAGTGAAAAGGCTCTCCTGGCCCCACCCTTGTTTCCAGTACCTCACTCTGTGGTCTCAGATTGTCACTTAATTCCTCTATGTCTCAGATTTCTCTTCTGAAAAATAAAGTTGGTCTAGACTCACTCTAAGAATCCTTCTACCGTGAAAGACTACAAATCGTCATTGTACGCCCTCAAGAGTATTTAACAAAACACGAAGATTCATTCAACTTTGGGGCAAGTCTGATTTCTTTTAGAGTTTTAGCCTCTGGGCATACACATACTTATTTTGGAAGTTAAGTTAAAACCCCACTTTTCTAGGTCTTTAAAGAATCTGCTGCCTTAGGTATTTCTGGTAACTTTCAAATGCCCCATGTGGCCTGAAGGAGAAAAAAAGGTGAAATTCCAAGGGTGAAAGTCACTGAAATCTTCGGGTGGCTCACCTGTTCCTAGTCCCTCCATGCCCGGAATGTCATCTCCAAACCTATGGAAAAAAATACGAGAGACATTAGCTGATATCGGAGCCAAAGGATCCTGGAATAAGTCATGTGAAGAGTTTCCTGATTCAAAGAGAAAGAAGAAGAAGTTTAAGTTTTTGTATTTGAGAAATCCCTTCTGTCTGCATTGAACTGGCACAAAGGAAGCGGCACTCAGGCAGGTTTTAGACAATGTGTCCCAGAGGAGGGATAGTTTCCCCTCTGTAAAAATTTAGCTCAAGACAATTGAGCCAGAGCCAGAAAAAAAAATTGAGCCAGAGCCAGAAAAAAAAAAAAAAAAGAGAGATCAGTGGGGCAATTTAGTCAAGCTCCACTTTTTAAAATAGAAATTAGAATGAGAAAGCAATATGAAAGTCATTAAAATGATTAATTTATCCATTTGTTTAGTTTATCCAAAAGTACATATTAAGCATCTACTATGTCCCTGGCATTGTGTTAGGCCCTGGGAGTTAAGGAAAAAAACAAACACACAAATTTTCTCTGAGGGATCTCAGTCTCAGGGAACAGATGACAAGAAATAAATGTAATATAAAATAACACAAGTTACCATCGTGGAATGTACAAAATGCAAACATGGAAGTAATGATAATGTTTGTCTAAGGGAGTCAGCAATGGCTTTCAGAAGAAATTAACATGAGTGTGTGTTGAAAATAAACAAGATTTTGCCAAGAAGAGAAAGAGAAAAACAAAGAACTGAAGAGAGAAGATTTGAAGCCATAAAAATAAACGGTGTGTTCTAGAAGTGGCCAGTGTTTCTGTGTTCCAGATTAAAACACAGGTTACATCAGCGAAGGAGAGTGGTCAAGAAAAGTCTGAAAGGTCAAGTTGCAGGTCACTGTGAAGGTTCCATTTTCCATGTTAATTCTGGCTGTAGATCAGGAATCCTTTCCTGTAGAAAGGATTCCAGGACTGAAAACATGATTCAGCAAAGATTCTCTTAGATAGGAAAACAGAGGGTGTGGTTGGAAATTTTTTTAAGTCTATTTAATATTGTGAGCATTAATTTCTTAAAGCCAAAGCACTCTTTTTTTTTTATAGATCTTTATTGGAGTGTAATTGCTTTACAATACTGTGTTAGTTTCTGTTGTACAACAAAGTGAATCAGCCATATGGAGGGAAAAAAACAATAGAAAGTCTAATTTTTAATCTTGGTCTTACCCTTTCACACCTTTCTTAGGAGGCTTGCTCTTGAACTGACGAGTCTGCCTCTGCTTGAACTTGGGGGGTCCTTTGCGTGGGGTGGTGGGACCTTGGTTTGAAGTTGGAGGGGCCACAGTAGAATTGTCACTCATTCTGCTGGTCCTTGGGGGGCTGATGGTTTTCTTTCAGGCTCCTTAGACAGTAAGAGAAAAAAAGAAGACCCTTCAAGGTATGAGAACCATTACGTATTAGACCCTGACGGTAAACTGGAGGTGGGGAGAAAACCACCTTGATAAAGAAGCTCAGTATCTTGTGTTGACACCAAAAGGGAGAAGTTATCTTTTAAAGAGATTTTTAAGAGAATGTGGTATACATCAAGGGAGGCGCTCAGTAGAGTGGGATATAAACTGGCAACTGATAGAGTTCAAAAATCTGGATGGATTTGTTGCTCCAATAAATCTGCCACTAACTTTCTATGTGAATTTATTATAATGATGTCCTTCTGTTTGATCACCAGTTCTACCATCTATAAAGGGAGAGAAATGAACTAAAGAATGTCTATAGTCTTTGCAGCACTGAAAAATTTTTTAAGCTTTACATATATTTCCATCTAGCTGTAAAATAACCTGACTCTAAACGTTTATTGACCCATTTTTTATGGCCTCTGTTCTTTATGGTCCTTATTTTATTTACTTCTCATGTGATGCAGAGACTTCTTTCCTAGTTCTGGGGATGACAGTGTAGTAGTCTGGATAGGGGAAACTCTGAACCTGGTGTACCAACACCACGAAGTGTTCAATACATCCCAATACACACACACACACACACACACACACACACACACAAGCATACAGAAGACAGTGTGGGGTGATTAAGTAGTAAGTGTGTGCTTTAACTCCACATCCAGATATAAAGTTTTCTAGCCACATATTCCTCAGAAATCTTCAACATTTTCTCCTATCTAAATCAAGGAGCTATCCAATATAATTTTCCCAGACTTTCATTTTAGCTACAAAAATGTACATAGTCATTCTTCAAGTACAAATAAAAGAACATAACAAATTTTTATTACATGTTATAATAACATGTAATAACGAATTAGCATGATTTATGCTAAGCTAAAGAATACTTTTCTTTCTCCTACTCTATAACAAAAGTCGATAGCACTTAATCTGGGAAGGAAGATTCTGAAAAACCTCCACAGAACTTCCAAACAGCCTTAATCTCCCACCTGGAGCCAACCTGTCCATAATCTACCGCCTGGGAGCTTGTTTTCATAGAATTCCATATTTCATTCATTATAGATTTATGCTAATATTCTTAACTTCAATTGTTCCCAACAATGTTTAGCTCATGCTAACCATCTTTTCTCTCTCTCTGCCACACTGCACACCCTTCAAAACTTATATTGTGTAACTTTTATTAACTTTTTCTTATTACTCTCAAAATCATGTAAAATTATTAATAACTCCTTGCCTCCAAGATATTATTTTTCCCTATTTTCTCTTCCCCAATTACTATTTTATTTCGATCCTGGCCAGTCCTCAACTTGTTCAATAAAAACACATTGACTACTCTGTGAGCTGGAACCAGGGATGGTGAAGCTGGCCAGGGTCCTGGATCACCTATACATGCAATGGATCTTGTCTTAATCCCCCACTGGAATATGCTCCATGAGGCTGCTTTTTCAGTCTTTGTTCACTTCTGTAGCCTCAGAACCTACAACAGTACCCGGCCCATAGTAGGTATGCCACATACATATTTGTCAGATGAGTGAATAAATAAATAAAGAGAACTAATACTTTGAAACTTGGGTCCTGAGATCCTGTGACATTCCGGTGACCTTCTCCGTCAAACCATATGTAAAGCGTCAGCTGATCTTCACCTCATAAAGCCCTCAGTGGCTTTAGAAAATATGCTGCCAGCTCCTCTACTCCCTGAATCCAATTCTTGTGCTGCGGGCCCTCTCCTGCTCTAGTAAACAGGCAAAGTTTGTGCCTCTCCCAAGTGTGGTTGGGACCATGGGAATGGCTTGGCGGGCAGCCGAGAGAAGCATTACTCTCTGACCGTGCCACCAGTAACAGACATGTCCCAGCTCCACCAAAGCCACAGAGGAAAATTGGAGAATTTCCCTCAGATCAAGCTTTTGGACTTGCCAATTCTTTCAAAGCAATAAGAAACTACAAACTTTCCTTTCTTTAATCTAGAGAGCCTACTAGGTTTAGGATTGCCACATTTAGCAAATAAAAATACAGGAAGACCAGTTAAATTTGAATTTCAGCTATACAACAAATGACTTTTTTTCTAGTATAAGTATATCCCAAAAATTTCACGGTACTTACTTATACTTAGAAACTTGTCTTGTTGTTGTTTATCTGAAATTCAAATTGATCTGGGCATCTTCTATGTTATCTGGCAACTCTAACTGGGATTCTACTATGTTAGATCCAAAGTCTTTAATGTGAGGGTCTAAGCTAAGGTAACCTTAGTCAGTCAAATCACCCTTTAGGGGGCAAAACAGTGTAAAGAGTAGATGCTTTAGAATCAAATAGAAATAATCTCAAATTCCTGCTCCACAGAACTGTTTATGTGACCTTGGATAAGTTGCATAACCTCTTTAGGTCTCACTCCATCTATAAAATGAATCAAATAATATCTTCTTTTTAGGGTAATGGGGAAAATAAGAGGGAATAACGTAGAGTGTTCGGTGAAAAATACTCAAAAAGGAGTAACCTTTTTATAGTAGACCTTCTGACAGTCACGGAAGTCCTGCAAACAAATTTATGGTTTCGACATAGGTTCACCCGGACTCCCACACCCCTTCCTCCAGGCCATCTGCTGAAGGGTCCTTGTCAAGCACCAGAGAGGTAATTGCTACCTGCACTTGCTGGGAAATCCTCTGCATCCTTCAAATGCCCCAACTATTAAGTTATTTTTGCTCTCACAATTCTGTCTTAAGAGGACTTCTTTGGATTCCTTTGACAACCCTAACAGCAACCCCAAAGAACTTAAAATTCACACTTGACTTCTATGTACCCCTGATTACACTTCCCCTTTTCTCTGGTGAGTTTCTTTTGCATGTTTATATAATTCTGAAATTGCAGTTGCAAGTTTCTCTAGGCTTGGACGGAGCTCCTGACTAATTCCAAGTGTGATGCGTTACATAAAAGAATTGTCCTTGGAAAGCGTTATGTAACAGTTGCCTGGCTAATCCCTGAATCCTCATGGCCCTCAGGATCTGCGCTATGAATAATAACTGTTTTTACATTTATTGTGCATTTTGAGTACAATATTTCATTTTTGAGTACCTAGGACAGTCAACCAATCCCTAGGGTGTTTCTGTCATAGATTTACCCTCCAGTTTTCCCTGTAACATCTTTGGGATGAGCAGAACAAATATGACCTTGTCCTGCCTTGGAAATCAGTCCTGTCGGCCACAGGTATCACCTACAGCTGAACTTATCCTGACTGTGCTTTCCTGAGAACTCCAAGGGCATCCCTGGAAGCTGAATAATCCTGAATCTAACATCAGACTTGATTTTAGCTGCAAGCAGAGGTTTCACATTTTTGCCTCCCAAAGTGCCAAGTAATTCATTCCTTCGCGAGACAGAATGGTTTCCCTGTTTTTAAAACACGGTTAGGGGGCTTCCCTGGTGGCGCAGTGGTTGAGAGTCCGCCTGCCGATGCAGGGGACGCGGGTTCGTGCCCCCGTCCGGGAGGATCCCACATGCCGCGGAGCGGCTGGGCCCGTGAGCCATGGCCGCTGAGCCTGTGCTCCGCAACAGGAGAGGCCACAACAGTGAGAGGCCCGCGTACCGCAAAAAAAAAAAAAAAAAAAAACACGGTTAGCCCTTCCCCTTTTGAAAATTACAAGCTCTTCCTCTGCAGAAAGTGGATGCAGCAATATAAGATTTCAAGGCATAGGTTTGAGGGAACTGAGGTTACTGTTGCCTTAGACCCAAGGCAGCAGAGCTCAGCTGTAGGAAGCTACAGACGATGCTCCATAAATTCCAGCTAAGGAAGGGCAGTTTCTGAAGATTCTTGAGTCAGGTTCTCTAATGCTACTGTTATCGCCCTAGGCTTCGAGTTCCCTCTTTCTCGGCAAAGATATGGGTGAGGATGGGGCGAATGTAGGCGAAGGAGCAATTTCCTCCACGGGTGTGGTTGGACCTATAAACGTCACCCAGGGTCCCGCTGAGGCAGAGAGAATCTAATAATGTGGAGAGCCAAGGAAGACCCAAACCAAAGCCGTGAAAAAAACAAAAACAAAAATCCAGCAAGTACCTTGCTTCAGCTAGAAGCAAACAAACATCTTAACCTCGGAGGGAGAAGGTTTAGCACACCTGTCCTGCACTGCGGTCATTCCCCCACTGGTTCTGGTATCATTCCCCTCACCTTCACGCTCTCACATCAGCCTCTTGGTGCCTGGACTTAGTTTTCAAGCACACCCTGGGAGTAAAGAACTGTTTGCTCTGTGGTCACTTAGTGCCCCAGATCCCTCCTTTCCCAGAAAACTGTTTGCTATGGAGCTGCCAAAAGGGAGGGTCAGTTTGAGGTTGCTTCTAAGTGAATTTAGTAATCAAGGTTTGCAATGACCTTGTAATAATCAAATTTCACTCATTAGCTTGTCACATGGCATTATAAGGAAGTTTGGGTGTATTTCCTCCATGTTTTCTCCCATTTCCATCCCCATCCCTGGTCCAGGCCCACAGGTTCAGTGTGTTCTTTTCTTCCGTTTCTTTGTTTTAGAGCCAAATTGAACCCCCCCACCCCGCGCAAACAAAAGCCCTTTGATTATATCCTGCTTAAACTCTCCAGAAGTTGAGAAATACTCACAGAGCTGAGTGTTTCTCCAATGAGCTGTCCAGTTGCCTTCCTCACAGTAGATGAATAAAGGACCTTTGCATCCTGATTTATCTCTGTAATACCCTCATGCTACCTAAGCGCATCATCATAGGCTTAGGAGCATCAGCCCAGGTGCAAAGAAGCTGCAAGAGTGTGGGGTGAGACTGGGACAGGCTTTTATGTTAATTGGATGTTCTTACAAACTGACTTGGGCTCTCTCCTGTCCATAAATAAGTATCGAATTCACACACGAAGTGTTGATTTCCAAGGGGAGACTTGCAGATTGTAGTTCAAAATCTTTTTTCCTTCTCCATTGTTACCTTTAGTCCTTACCCCCCATTCTTCCCTTTTCCTGACACACACAAGCCCTTGCATACTGCCCCTCTCTCTCCTCTCTCTCTCTGTCACACACACACACATGTACACACACAGATGATCACATAATTCTCACAGTGTCCCCTGCTTCATTGGAGACATTGATCATGGGAGCAGTGCCATTGAGAAAGACCAGTATCTCTCCCTAATCGGTGTTATAGGCATTTTCTCAGACAGATGAAACCACAGATCAGGAATAACCTAAAATTCAGTGATACGTGACAGAGAGAGAGCACAAGTGATAGCTGGGAACTCTTAACTGATGATATTTATTCGAGAATTGATTGCTGGATCTTTCGCGCCAGACGCTTCAGGGTGTAAGGTCCAGACTACAGTCCCCTTCAGTGGGACCCTTGACACCCATCTTCCAATTGCATTGAGGCACTGATATGAATTTGTACATCACTTTATACAGTTCTGAATAGACCTGGACTCATATGGCAGCATCATTAAGCTCTCTTGACCAATTTGTCATAAAGAAGTTAAACGATTTATTCAGGATTGCATAAAGTGAGTGGGGGCCCGGAGCGAGGCCCAGCCCTGCGCATATCTTGTTTATTCAGCTGTCTTTCTGCTCCACTACAGCAAAGCAGACCTGGACCGAGACGCCTGTGTCGCTGGTTACTCTGATGCGTCGCTAGTGAACTACAGTGCGCTTCTCTAAATTGTTCCTTATAAGAGAATTGTACTCCATGAGATTATAGAGAAAGAATGTCAATGTATCCTTTCTAGGCAGGGAATGATTCTTAACCTGCAGCCCCAAGCAGGTTACATAGGCTGCTAACAAGCTTAAGGGGTTTTTTCAGTAATCTTTCCCTTGGTATTTACCAAAATTAGAGGATTCTGAAGACAGCAAACACCTCGCAGAGGCAGCAGGGTGTTTTGTCTCTGGATGGGTCTTTCCACTCCCTCCTTTGTCTCCATTACTTTTCACATCTTTCTCTACTCCTACACACCAGACCCATGGATGTCTTGATGCTTATCTGTCAAACCCTCCCACATTCTCCATTTCTTTGGTGAAGAACAGAGGACTTCTCATCAGAAACAGTGGAAGCCAGAAGGAAGTGGCACACTTTTCACATCCTGAAAGAAAAGAACTGTCAATTCTGAATTCTATGATCAAGTGAATTGATCCTTCAGGAATGAAGGGGAAATAAAGACATCCTCAGACAAAGGAAGATGAAAAGAATCTGTCATCAAAATACCTTGAAAGAATAATAAAGGAAGTTCTTGAAACAGAAAGGAAATGACAGAAGAAGAAAATGTTGAACATCTAGAAAGAAACAACGATGAAAAGAGTAAAAGTATGGGATACAAGGAGGCGCATGAAAGACAAGGAACACGGTGAGCTTCGGCAAGGCTATGTGGAGAATGAAACATTGTTCAAGACCCTGCAGTTCTAAAGACCTGGTCACCTGGTACGTTCAGGAGGTGCATCATGTTTCCCTGTTCCAAGTGGCTTCTCTTTCTGCTCTGCCTCCACTACTTCTACTGAGTCTTAGAGGATTAGAGTAGACTAGCCAATCAACACCCCCTGCCTCTGTTGGACAGAGTTCTTCTACCCGGTCACTTCACTGGTCATTGCCTTGCCTCGTGTGGTGAACTTTTGGTCAGTTATCTACCTCAGATCTTATCAATCAGGTAATAGGGTCACGCAGCTATGAACAAGGTGATCGATAACCAAGTGATTTCCTGGAA